AGTTCATTACCAAAGTTCAAACTGAAGCTAGCCGACCAAACAAGTTTGGCAATCTGAGTGCTCCGTATTGGCGCCAGACACACAACTCCTACCCTGTCAATACTGGTTATGGTGATCAAAGTGATGACTTGAGCAACAAGGAGTGGCAGAAGCCAAGCAGCAATGTCATACGAGATGACAGGACGATCAGTGGCCCTTACAAAAACAGTAAGTACTCTCCGGAGCCAAATGAGAACAATGGCAGTGTAAGGACTAAGCCAAGTCATGGGGCATGGTCTACACCACAAGGAGCTCGCCTTAGCGAACCAACAAGTGACATCAACACAGCTATGGAGTGCTTAATAGAAGCTGCCAAACCTTCTTCAGGTATTACTCCTCCTCCACCTTCCAGGTATACAATACCCAGCGTCTCAGCAGGGCCAAAGAGAGCTACCTACCCTGAAACCATTGACAGCAGGGAAGCTGCAAGGAGATATGGCAACGCGAATTTAGCACCAGCTCGTCCGACAGGGAGTTACACCACAGCCATTGACAGCAGAGAGGCTGCAAGAAAATATGGTGGCACGACAGTGTGAAAGCATATGCGACTGTTAGCAGATGCACTACTATATTGTTAAAACTAGGCTTAAACCTTGCATTTAAGCGTTTCCTTGGGTAATCAACTATGGTTATTGATCCCCTGTGTCAGTTTCATAACCTGTTTGTTCACCAATTTATAATGGACTTGTGTTAAAGGATAGCCCTCTTATGTACTACAATAAGCTTTCCTGTTAAGCTACTGAAATGAATATATTTTCTCTTTAGCCATTAATTCTTTTTGTAATTCTTCTTTTTCTTTACATTCATGTATAATAAATATCAAAATTTTGTATTATAGTTATTCAATCATAATCATTCATATATGGTAAAATTAATTGGCATACAATACTATTAATTTGACTACACGAATTTTTTTTTATAAAATTTATGCATCTACATATATTTTAAATGGGGATATTTTATGCCTAATAAAAAAATACCCTTATTTCAAAAAATAGTAATTAATTAGAAAATAGGCCATTTTAGAAGTTGAACCACAAGAATGTGAAACTCCCGCCCCTTTCACTTACAACTGAAAGTAGCTAATGGCTTTGCCTTCAACAAGGCACTTAAACTCAAACTCCAGTCTCTTCTCTTCTTTATGCCTTCTCCTTATCTTCACACTCGCCATTTTCTTCCCAAAATATCCTTAAAGTTCCAATCTTTACACTCGTTTTCAACTATCAAAAATGCCAACTTTAATCAAACCCGTCCCTGTTTTAACAAATTCTTGTTACTTTTACAGGAATTCCCAAATACCCTTTTCTGTATTAAGTCTATCCATGCCCAGATTATCACGAACTCTGTATCCAAACACCAATTTTTGGTCTCAAATTTGGTGAAAGGTTACAGTGGATTGGGCTGTTTGGGAATTGCCAGGAAAGTGTTTGATCAAATTTCTCAGCCAAAACCCATTCTTTGTAATTCAATGCTTAATGGGTATTTGCGAAATCAGTGTTATAAGGAAACTATTGAGTTGTTTGAAATTATGGGTTTCCTTCATTTGGAATTTGATAGTTATTCATGTAATTATGTTTTAAAGGCTTGTATGGAATTAGAAGATTTTGAGAAGGGCAAGGAAGTAGTTCAGAGAGCTGTGGATAGAAGCGTGGATGGTGATAGGTTTTTGGGGAGCTCAATGATTAGTTTCTTTATGAAGTTTGGTGATTTTGATGGCGCCAGAGGGGTTTTTAACCGGATGGTTGATAGAGATGTTGTTTGTTGGAATTCAATGATAGGTGGTTATGTAAAGGGATGCTACTATGTTGAGGCTTTTGGCTTGTTTATTGAGATGATTCTTCGAGGGGTTAGGCCAAGTCCTATAACTATGGTGAGTTTGGTGCAAGCATGTGGAGGGTTGAGGAGTTTAGAACTTGGGAAATGTGTTCATGGATTTGTACTTGGATTGGGAATGGGAAGTGATATTTTGGTGCTCACTGCATTGGTTGATATGTATGGTAAGATGGGTGAAATTGAAAGTGCTCATTTGGTTTTCGATAGCATGCCTGCAAAAAATTTGGTTTCTTGGAATGTTATGATCTCGGGGTACATTCAAAATTGTTTGGTGTCTAAGTCTTTTGATCTATTTCGTGAATTAGTAATAACTGGTGGTGGTTTTGATTCCGGAACCGTAATTAGCCTCCTCCAAGGTTGTGCTCAAATAGCTGATTTGGAAAGTGGAAAGGTTCTCCATGGCTGTATTTTTCGAAGAGGCCTTGACATGAACCTTATTTTGTCTACTGCGATTGTAGATTTGTATTCAAAATGTGGTGCTGTAAAGGAGGCAACTTCTGTGTTTGACAGGATGAAAGATAGAAATGTGATCACATGGACCGCTATGCTTGTAGGGTTAGCACAAAATGGGAACGCTGAAGATGCCCTCAAATTATTTAATCAGATGCAAGAAGAGGGGGTTGCTGCCAATTCTATAACATTAGTTAGTTTAGTCCACTCTTGTGCCCACTTGGGTTCCTTGAAGAAAGGAAGGAGTGTCCATGCTCAACTATTTCGGCATGGATATGATTTTGATGTAGTTAACAGGACAGCCTTGATTGATATGTATGCCAAGTGTGGAAAGATAAACTATGCCGAGAGGGTATTCAGAGATGGGTCTTTCTTTAAAGATGTTATATTATGGAATTCTATGATAACAGGCTATGGCATGCATGGTCAGGGACATAAAGCTCTTGGTATCTTTAGCAGAATGTTAGAGGAGGGAGTCAAACCAACTCAAACTACATTCATCTCTCTTCTATCGGCTTGTAGTCATTCGGGCCTTGTGAACCAGGGAAGAAATTTGTTTGTAAACATGGAAAGTGATCATAACATCAGACCTACTGAGAAGCACTATGCTTGCTATGTGGATCTTCTTAGCAGAGCAGGATGTCTTGAAGAAGCTGAGGCATTGATCAAACAAATGCCTTTTCAGTCCAGTGGTGCAGTTTTTGAAGCATTGCTAAGTGGGTGTAGAACTCATAAGAACATTGACATTGGCATAAAAGCTGCAGACCATTTATTAAGTTTGGATGCAACAAACCCTGGAATTTATGTTATGTTATCAAATATATATGCTGAAGCAAGGAGATGGGATGCAGTAGATCACATTCGAGGTCTCATGAAGAAACGGGGGCTGAAAAAGACACCGGGTTACAGCCTGATTGAAGTAGGAAAGCAGGTTCATACATTTTTTGCTGGAGATGAATTGCATCCAAATCAGGTGGAAATCAGTAAGATTTTGGAGAATTTAAGATTAGAACTTGAAGCTTCAGGCTACATGCCCGATACTAGCTGTGTTCTTCGTGATGTAGATGAGCCAATGAAGATCAGATTGCTCTGGAGGCACAGTGAGAGGTTAGCTATTGCTTTTGGCCTTTTAAGCACACCAGCAGGAAGCTTGATCAGGATCACTAAGAATCTCCGTGTATGCGTTGATTGCCATACTGCGACTAAATACATATCAAAAGTGGTGAAGCGGGAGATTATTGTAGGAGATGCAAACCGTTTCCATCACTTTGTTGATGGCAAATGTTCCTGTAATGATTATTGGTGAAACGGAAAGGAGTATGAGTGATGAAGTTCTCAAGTTGTTCTCACTATTTCCCCTCAAAACTCTTTTCTTAGTATAGAGATAATTTCTTAGTATAGAACCGGTTGATGTGAATCGTGGCATATGATATTAGAATCGGTTTTAGAATACTAGAGAATATCATACTCTTAAAGAAGAGTCGTGAATCTTACATCGATTGTATAATAGAATATGACTGAGAATTTAAGTATTCACATTATATTAAACATATGAAAAATCTTTTATGAAATAAAATTGTGAAAATCAATAAATCAAAATAATAAACAAAATAATACGGATTGATATGAATTACGACACAAGGCATTTCAATCAAAGACGAAAAAACCCGAAGAAGAAAACATAATATCCCCATTGGCCATGTCCTTGAGCTTGCAACCTTTCCTCTAAATTGTTGTCTTTCGTGCATAGGTTCATAAATTACCAAATTAAGAAAGGCTTTTTACCCTTACTAAAAATAGGAATAAGACAAAAGTATACCACCCCTTTTTCCCCATAGGTTGCTACTTACTGCTACTAAACTTCTCTCTTTACTTGTGAAAGTAAAATCAAAAGAAAACACCATAAAATTTCTTTTATCAGCTAATGCTCGATGCTTAGCAAAATCCCAATGAGGAACAAAGGTTCAACTTTTGTATTATTCATTTCAAAAGTTTACCTTGTTCTTTTCCAACGACTTAAACTGCTAACGAATTTTATCATTAAAAACAATACTACATTTTTATTTACATATAAAACTATTTAAAAGAAAATTGAGAAATAAAAATAATATAATGCTAAATTAAAAAAATTTAAATAAATTTTTATTTTTATTATATTTAATTAAATTTTTATAATTTGATTTTGATTCAAAATAGATTAATATTTAGTTAATTATAATTAATTAAAATATTATTTATTATTTTACACTCAAATGATGTTGATGTACAATAATCTATTAGGTCTTTATCTATTATATTATTTTAACATGTCATTTCAATATTAAATTATATAAAATAATATTTTAATTAATTATAATTAATTAACTATCAATAAAAAAGTTTATTTAACTAAAAATATAATTAAAAATAATAATTTATTTAATTTTTAAAAATAATTCAATAATTTTTTTTCAAATATTATATGAATACATTACCTTCGCAAGTATAAATATAAATAAAATCGAGTTTAAGCTGTTTGTACTCAATTTATCTCTTTAAAAGATAAACATCTTATGCCACCGAACCGACATTTTTCAATTACTACTAATATTAATTTCAATTTCCAAGTAGAATAAAGTGCTCTACTTTATTTGTATACATACAAAAAAAAAGTATTAACAATGCACGTACTCTAAAACCCAACAAAGTTTGCTTCTTTCTTTGTAAATTTCGCATTATTTTTTGTCATCATCATCACTCTCTAAGAACTGTAGACAGAGAGAGAAACAAAAATTTAAACCAAAAAAATAAAGAAATACTGTTTTTTTATATATATTTTGGAATGGAGTGAATTTTTTTTTTTTTTTATAAACTAGTGCTCGAAGAAATGCTACTTAATTTTCTAGTAGCATTACTTTCTCACTAAAACCCAGAGTTTTTTCCCATCATTTTCTGGAGAATTTTGAAGTACTCGACTATAGAGAAATAACCAGAAAGCCTAGATATCCAGAAGGTCAGTTAAGGTTATATTTCTTAATGTTTTCCATTTTAAGTTTGGTTTACACCCAGATCGATTTATGTTTAAAAATTTGTTTTTTTTTCTTTGCTTTGAATTGTTGTATTTGTTTTGCTTATGTATTTGAGTACTTGGATCATGTGATCAAGGTCGGTTTTTTGATTGTTTTCTGGTGGATTTTGGTGAAACTTTGGTTCTGTTTGGTTGGTTAGAAAGTGTGGGAAAAGGAAGGAAAATGTAATGGTTTTTTGGGGCTTGGAATTTTTTGAACTATAGTAAAGAGAACCTCTTTTGAACAGTTTTTTAGCTACCCAATGGAGGTTTTAGGTTTCATTTGAGTCCTATGATCTTGTTATATGGATTGTGCAGTTAGATAGATGAATGTGGAATTTGGTCTATAGGTGTTACCGTGTTAGATTTTTAGCTGTTTTAATTAATGCCTGGTTTATCGTTTTCTATATCGTTTGAGAGGGACACTTGAGAATTTAATTGAAACCTTGCATTATTAGTTTTTTTTATTTATTTATCTTCCCACTGCGTTTTCTTGGTTGCTAAATGTTTAAGATGAAAGATTGGGAAATGGTTTCATAAGGTGATAGGAGAAGTCGAAGAATTGATTTCATGTTAGGGTGGAAAATATCAGTATGCTTTTCAGAGATTATATCTGTTAACAAATGCAACGTGTTGTTTGTAGGTATGTACAAGAACCAATTGCAAGAGTTGGCTCAAAGAAGTTGCTTTAATCTGCCATCTTATTCATGCATCCGGGAAGGACCTGATCATGCACCTCGGTTTAAAGCCACTGTCAACTTTAATGGAGAGACTTTTGAAAGCCCTACCTTTTGCTCTACTCTGAGACAAGCAGAACATGCTGCAGCTGAAGTAGCTCTAAGTACACTTGCCAACAGAGGCCCTTCCAAAGCATTGGCTGCAAGAGTTTTGGTAAGCATTAAATTGAAGTTTTATCCTCTTTCCAATTATAGTTACATAGATGCTATTCTTCCTACTGAAATTTGCAATCAGCAATCATTTTATCATCATGTGCTTTCCTAGTCTTAGGTACTGGCTTTTATTGTTGTCAAAGACAAAACGGTAATTTTTGGTTCCTTTAAGGGATGATATTTCTGATCCATACCATACAGCATTCTCATTGTAGATCTAACTCTTAAATTGGTTCATCTTCTACTAAGTACTGAACCAGCTAACTGACCTTATCTACCAAAACTTACTCTTGCTTTAAGTAATTCTGGATTTGATTGTGATCCATGAAGTACACCTTCACTGTGTTGCCATTTTTTCTCTCTATCATCAACCATTTTGTCTTTGGTAACTTATTGTCAACCTTAAAAATGCCAATACCATATCTTAAACTTAGATTTGAGAAAGCAATCACTTAATGTGTTTTCAACATTGGAAAATGGTAGCAGTATAGGGTTTAATTTTGGAAGTTGAGGTAGTCATATGGTGTATCCTTGAAATCAATGAAATTTGGCAGTCCTCTGTTGGAAGATTATAGTTGCATCCATGCATTTTGTCTTGGTATCTGAGGTTCAAAACACCTTTTAGTTCAAATATTTGCATGCTTGTATAGCATATTTATCGCATTTAATACTTTCCTTTTAACATGATGTTTTCTGGGTTCCATTTTTGGCAACTTATTTAGCATTCCCAAGCTATTTGTAGGGAGTTTTGAATCTATTAACAGTACCAATTTCAGTTCCATAGACACAGTGGGGATGCTAGTAAAATTAATCTTGATGATTAAGTGCTTTTGCTCCTCTCTCTTTGAGCTAGACTCTGCAGCAACTTAATTTGTGTCCTTGTATTGCTCTTCACACCATAAGTTTGTTCTAGTGAAAATAAGATTAATTCTTTTGAGTTTGTGTCTACTGCACAGGATGAAACTGGTGTCTATAAGAATTTGCTTCAAGAGACCGCTCATAGAGCTGGCTTAAATCTTCCTCTCTACGCAACTGTTCGATCTGGACCAGGCCATGTTCCTGTTTTTTCATGCACAGTTGAGCTTGGAGGGTTGAGCTTTACAGGGGAACCAGCGAGGACCAAGAAACAAGCACAGAAGAATGCAGCAATGGCTGCATGGTCAGCCCTGAGAAAATGTATGATTCCTGTCTTCCTTATCAAAGTCTCTACTTCATTTAGAATCAACCAAGTGCATGGTTTATTCCTCCCATAGTGGGGGATGTTTTGGGGTTAGACAATGAATAAAATCATACAATCTTAGCCTGTTATAAAACAAGTTAGTTAGTTCATTATACCGTGACACTCAGTTGCTATTTCTTTAGATATATGTTTCTTTATATTCATTCACTACAAAAGATTTTGATCAAAGCTTAAAAAATTCGTTTTATGATTAGTTATTATTTGAAATTTTACTAATTCAATTTCTCTTCCTTCTTGAAAGCTTTCCTCAATCAGTTAATCTTCCTGTAGATTTTTTTCTGCATGTTTTCCATGTAGCATAGCGTCCTTACTTCAACATAACTTTAGTGTGAATATTCTAATTTGTTTAAGTAACATGCCTGCAGTGTCTCAGCATGGTTCATCTTCGTCTTCATCGCCTTCATTGGAGTCTAAAGGAAAAGAAGAACAAGAGCAAGTTGTCATTGCTCGTTTCCTTTCATCTTTACGGCCATCAAAATCAAGGCACTCTGTGCTAAATGATTGTCAGCATGAAAAGCAGAGATCAATTCCTGTATGTAGGGACCTAACTCCTCCAACCCCAAGCTTATATGCTATGCAGGGTCAAAGTTGGCCTTACCCTAGTTTTTCCCCTGAAATGGCCATATACCAAATATGGCAGCAAGAACAATTATTGCAGCTGCAAAACCACTTGTTTACATTTCCTGTTTCTCCAGTTCCTCCACCTGGTCCTCAGATTCTTCCTTATGTACAGTCTATTTTACACCCAGATCACTGTCTATCATTTCGAGCTAGGGACCAAGAACCCATTCTAACGGCTCCCAGGCTCGCAATTGCTACGTCAGGCCCTTCTCTTTCCTTCTCTAATAAATCGGCTTCTCAACCAACCATGGGTAAGTCTACTGTGACTATTCAAGAGATACACGAGGAGATAAAAGAAGAACCATCCAAGTACTCTGCACCTGTGGTTATAGATCCCCCTGTTCCCAGTCAAACCAATGTTGAAACGGGTATCAAGGAATCAAAACAGGAAGATCACAAACAGAAGAATGTTGAGTTAGAAAGCAAAGGTGAAAATGTTCATAGGAAGTTGGATGCTGGTTCCTGGCCTGTCAACTACCACTCACAAACTCCACATGCTTTTGAGTCTTCTCATCTTGGACCACGGTATCCTCCAAAAGCAGAGTATTATAGAAATTCTAGATCGCCATTGTCTGCAGCAGCTCCTGTGATGATCAGAACAGTGAACCCAGTTTCTTCCATGAGACCAAACGCACAAAGGCCGGCAACTCAGGTGCCTGTCCCGCCAAGAATGAGAACCGGAGCTCCACCATTTTCAACCAGACCCAGGTTTGAAAGAATGAACCTTGGGGGCATGCATCCCAGTTCGATGGCACCGCCTGTTAGAATAAGATCGGTTGTACCAGTCTGTTCAGCTCCACCACCACGAGAAAAACCAAGCTTCAACCAGGAGGGTATGTTACCCAACAAAGAGAAGAAAGATACACTATCTGAGGATGTGTCAACAGCAACTTCAGATCTTAGTAAGCTTAATATGTAGATGGAGTATAGTCCATACATACCACAGGATGCAATCTAGTTTTTGCTATGACTTCCCTTTTTTTATTTTTGTTTCCCATGGAAATCATCACAGCCCTGGAGAGCTGTTTTATGCTTTTCTTATAAGTAGTTAGAATAAATAAATAGCTTTTTAAAATATGTATAAAACTGAAATTCATATTTTTTAAGCTTAGTTGAAGATTGATTCTAAATACTTGACTATATATATATAATTAAATCATCATTTTTTCTCCCTAAAAGAAACTTGAGCTGGTAGCTGAGGCAATACTAAGGTGATGCGGATATGGAAGATAAAAAATTGTTATGTGAGTATATTTTTATCAATATGTTATGTATTATTTTTTATAATATATTAATATGTCTTATTAATATTATATAATAAAAATAACAAATGATGTTTTGATTGATTAAATCAATCGAATTGATTACATTTTCATATTTTAACTATACTCTTATGGACGGCTATGATTAGATTTAATAAAAGTTTATGTTATCATCACCACCCTCCATTCTGCTGAATTGTACCAGTGGGCCTCAGGAATTGACGGTGTAAAGAGCCCCAAAAAATAGCCAAACAAAGAGGAAGAAGAAAAGAACGGAAAAAGCCTACTGCACAGGAACTTTAACATAATTACGAAAGTACCCATATGAATAGACACTGCAATATAAGTGGTGACTTAAAACCCTAAACCCCCTCTACCGCTCTCTCTTTCTCTCTTCCTCTCTTCCTCTTCCGACAACGCAGCAGAGCCACACAGAGCTTAGGTTCAAGAAAACTAGGGTTTTTTTTTCTTTGACAAGTTTCCATTGTTATTCACTGTTCATTAGCTCGTTTATGTGATCTTGGTTTGCTATTTTCTTGGGGTTGCTAATTTGGATTCTGGGCTTTGTTTACTCTAACTCCAACCCTAATGGGTTTCTTTAGAAACGTTTAAATATTCGTCTTTAGAAGTTTTTTCTTTCGTGATTATGAATTAATTAGGTATATTTATGAACTGGGTATTTGAAATGTAGTAGTTTTATGATCATTTTGTGGGCTTCTAAATGAATTTAGTTGTTTGAAGTTTGATTATGTTGTTAATAGGAATTTTATGGTGATGATGTTTCAGGTCTGTTTATTTTTTGGGCCTATTGAGAAATGCTTGTCTTATTTGAGACTCCGGCGGGCTTTGCCCTTTTTAAAGTGTTGGATGAAGGGAAGCTAAATAAAGTTGAGGTAGTTTTATCTTCAACTCTTTTGAGCATTAAGAGGAAGCCTCCTTTTTTATGTATTTATAAACTGTGATAAAATACCGTGATTGAATGAAGTCAGTGGGTCTATGTTTTAGTTTATGGAAATTTCCCGTTCCAAGTTTGGATTGAAATATGTGGTTTTTGTTGTTGTAGGACTTGTCCAAGGAATTCTTGGCTGCTGATTCTGCAAGAAAGGTTATTACATTTTTAGGGTTTTGAACACATTTGTTGTCCTTCATGTTAGTATTATGCCTTTTGGATTTCTTTAAACTACGGAGCTGATCGATTTTTTGAAATATTATTAGGTTGTGTCATTGAAAGCCTTTTCTAAGTTTGAAAACACAGCAGAAGCTTTGGAAGCAGCAACCAAACTACTTGAAAACACACCCAGCAAAGGTCTCCGCAAATTCTTGCGAGCTCATTGCGATGGTGAGACATTAGCAGTGGCTGATTCAAAGCTTGGAAATGCAATTAAGGAAAAACTGGTTTGTTGATAGTCTTCATATGTAGATTCTGTGGTGATATTCTTCTTTCTAATTCATTTGAATCTTATTTAAGTAGAAGTAACTACTTGTCTGCAGAAAATTGAATGTGTACACAATAATGCTGTTATGGAGTTGATGAGAGGTGTGAGAAGTCAGTTGACAGAACTCATATCTGGTCTAGCTGCTCAAGATTTGGCTCCAATGAGTTTGGGTTTGTCTCATAGCCTGTCTAGATTCAAGCTCAAGTTCAGTGCTGATAAGGTACTTAAGTTATAATGATTTCTTGTGGACTTGATTTAGCATTATCTCTTCCCATTGGAATGGGGAGGGTTTTTCTGGGAAGACTTTGTTAAAAATGCCCAATGGAATACATATATAAATAAGTTGGTATAAGATTCAAGGCTCCAAAGGAGAGTAAGTTTAGAGAGGTAAAATTTTAGTTAACAGTCTAGGCAGTAGATCGTTGCAGTTGTTGATCACTGAATGAAAGCAATAAAAGATGTAAAATGAGTTAAGCATTCTCATAAAGCTAATTCTTGGAATAAAAGATGTAAATGAGTTAAGCATCCCCATAAAGCTGATCCTTTGAATTGTAAGAGATGTGGTGTTACTGTAAAATGCGAACTCTCATTGGAAAAGAATTTCTTATTCATACTTGTGGTGTCAATTATGTCAAAGTGCTTAAAAGCATTAATCTTTGTGAAACCTATTGTATCTCTTATTTGGATTTGAAGTAATCTAAGAGAGGCATTGATAAGGGTTGGTGCTGTGCCAATATACGGTGGATTTCATGTGCTACCTAATATTTGTTCTGTTTTAAAGAAGTTCTTCAATGTTAAGACATGTAATTCTCTGGACCAATTGTGACTGTATAAGATTGTTTTATTAGGTTGACACAATGATTGTTCAAGCCATTGGTTTACTTGATGATCTTGATAAAGAGCTCAACACATATGCAATGAGGATTCGTGAATGGTATGGTTGGCATTTTCCCGAGCTTACTAAGATTGTACAGCACAATATCCTTTATGCCAAGACAGTTAAGTTAATGGGTGACCGTGCTAATGCTGCTAAGCTTGACTTCTCAGAGGTAAGAGTTCCAATTGACTTAATTAGAAAGCTAATACCCCAAGCTTGTTTACCAAGTGTTACGTTATTTCAATATGAAGCTTAATGTTGGCTTGTGAGCTCTCATATTTCCGTCATTATGAGGCTTGACGTAAAGTGCTTGAAAGAATCATTTTCCTTATTTTTAAATAGTTTACTTGCTTGAATTTTCACAGATATTACCAGAAGAGGTTGAGACAGAATTAAAGGAGGCAGCAGTCATATCCATGGGAACTGAAGTTAATGACCTTGATCTTATGAGTCTCAAAGAACTATGTGATCAGGTTTTGTCACTTGCTGAATACAGAGCTCAGCTATATGATTATTTAAAGAGCAGGATGAACACTATTGCACCAAACTTGACTGCTCTTGTTGGTGAACTTGTTGGTGCCCGCCTCATTGCTCATGGTGGCAGCTTAATGAATCTTGCAAAGCAACCTGGAAGTACTGTTCAGATTCTTGGTGCTGAAAAGGCTCTCTTCAGAGCTCTTAAGACAAAGCATTCAACTCCCAAATACGGGCTTATCTACCATGCATCCTTGGTTGGTCAGGCAGCGCCAAAGCACAAGGGGAAAATCTCCAGGTCACTTGCTGCAAAGGCTGCATTGGCAATTCGATGTGATGCTCTTGGAGATGACCAAGATAACTCTATGGGACTTGAGAACCGAGCCAAGGTGAAATCATAGATGACTTGCTACTTTCTCTCCCCTTCCAAAGGAAAATGTAAGGTATTTCTTACACACTATATTTTGTAGCTTGAAGCAAGATTAAGGACTCTTGAAGGCAAAGAATTGGCACGATCTGCTGGGTCGGCTAAAGGCAAGCCTAAGATAGAAGTCTATGACAAGGATCGGAGGAAGGGAGCTGGGTTGATAACTCCTGTTAAGGTCTCTGTATCTGAATCCATCATTTGTAGCATTTAGTGTTTTTTGTCCTTTAGGTGGTCATTGACACATTTCCTGTATACAGACTTACAATCCTGCAGCAGATTCTCTTCTTGGGCAAACAACTCCTGATGAGCAAGATACAGTCCCAAAGATGAAGAAAAAGGTTGAGGCAGAACCTCCGCAGGCAGAGGAAGCAGAAGAGGCACCTGCCACTGAAGAAAAGAAAGAGAAGAAGAAAAAGAAGAAGAAAGCTAATCAGGAGGCAAGTTTGCCAGCTAATGGAAATCAACCAGAAGGCGAAGAGCCTGCACCAAAGGAAAAGGAAAAGAAGAAAAAGAAGAAACATCAGGCTGAGGTTGATGGGGAGAATGTTGAAGTAGGAGAGAAGAAAAAGAAGAAGAGAAAGCATGCAGAACAAGGAGAAGAAGATTCTGAAGTGCAGACCAAGAAAGAGAAAAAGAAGAAGAAGAAAAGTGACGATTGAGAAAAATCAAGAAAGTTTGTGGTGATTTGCTGCCAAACAAGTTTTGGGTAATATAGGCTTTAGGTACTTCTGCTTGTAAAATGTGGTATTTTGCTGAGTTGTTAATTATCTGGTAGTGTTCTTCAAACCTAATTTTGATGTATTTTTAACTTCCTTATGGATGCAATTGCAAGGAAATATCACAACTTTATTGTTAATTTAGGGTTATTATCTTTTTGCATTGATATGGAAATGGTAATCAATAGCCTTCATTTGGCATATGATTAAAAAAAGAAGGAAAATGTAGCCAGCTCTAGTGTATTGGTGCACTTGGACCTGTAATTGGTTTATTCTTCGAAATGTAGCCAGCTCTGTTGAAACGTGGAAAAAAGGGTACTATGTTCATCTCCTCTTGCTATGGAATAGCATACTTGCCTAGGAGTTGTGTAGAAATGAAATATTCTATGTACAATAAGTTAACAAAAGCACTTATAGATAACAAAATGCTGTGTACAATGGTAATATTCTCTCGTGTGAAAACAACAATGATGGTAATACTTATTACTTTTCTTCTTCCTCTTTTTTTAATTATATTGTTTTAACTTTTCGCAAATTTCATCATGGGAATTGAAGTTAGTGATCTTGACCTGATGAAGGTCCACTGTGGTGCATGGGATTCTGTCTCGATGCAGAAACCATAATCAGATGACTATTATTGCACTGAATTATGCCTCAGAGAGGGAGCTAGGTGGTGCTTGCCTCATTGCCAAACGGTAGCAGCAAAGCCTGGTCGTAATGTTGAGATCCTTGGAGCAGGAAATGCCCATTTCAGAGCTCAAAAGGAAAAGCGTGGGATTCCTATTTACATGCTCATCTACCAAGCATCTATGGTTTCTTTTGGCCGCACCAAAGCTTGAGGGATAACTCTGTGGCACATTAGAATAAAACCCGGATTTACTTTTCTCTTCCTGTTAATTAGTTATAACTAGTTTTAGCTTTGAACATGATCAAGGGGTCTTGGTTCTTGAAAAAGGAATTGCGACATTCGGCTGGAGGTCTGCTCTGCTAAAGGCAAACCCAAGGTGGAAAATCTACGACAAGGGTCAAAAGAAGGGTGCTGGAAGTAAGAGACTGATGACTGCTGAAAAGGTTTGCATTTCATTTGCAAACATGTAAAGGTTCAGCAAGATTCTTTTCCTCAGGCAAAAAGCATATCCCACTGCCTATCAAGGGTGAATAAGAAATGGTCCCAAAGGACAAAAAAAGTCTGATTCAAAACCCTCCATATAAGGCCAAGGAAGCAGAAGAAGAAAGCTAAGAAGCTGTCAGGTTTTGACGATTGGTTGAAATAAACCATCTGACAAAGAATGAACAAAAGACGGTAGTGGAAGGAAATGAATGAGTTTGGTTAATCAGGGGAGCAATCTTTGAATTGAATATTAAGAAAAAAAAATGGGTGTGTGTTTAACTAATCCTTCAAGTGCAGAAATCATTGTATTTGTAGTTAAGAGACAAAGACATGAGCTTTTCTCTCAATGGGATTTGTCTGTTAAATTAGGTGAATGTCTTGTTCTTGTTGGATTTTGACTCAAACTTAAAAGAGGATCCTGCCTTAATCAAACAAAGAATTAATACCATCAAGTTAACATTCTGATTTTGTTCTTCCCACTCGCATCAAGCACTTATTGTCTTTATTTTATTTTATTTTATTTTAATTATCTTCTTCTGTAGAAGAGGGAAGAAAAATAAAGTAAAAGTGATAAATCCAACCCTTAATAAAAAAAATAAAAAATAAAAATTCAGGTCATAATATATTTATACAAAGAAAGAGAGTTTGTCTCTTTTTGTTCTCCATCCTGTGCTTCTACCTTTATTCCCTTACTTTTTTTGGAAGTATTTACTCAATAAAATTAAGGACTTGCATTAAAAGAATAAGTCACTAATTCGTAGATATAGCTTTATAAAATAAAAAATAAAAAAATTTATGTTGTAAGGATTGTCAAAGGTGTAATCAATTGATTTTAATTTAAATATCTCATAGATCCAAATTAAACTAAAATAATATATAATTATAATTTAATATTAAAAATTATTCTAATAGTAAGTACTTTAAAACTACTGTTCAAATCCATAATGGATAATAATTTTATTATCCAAACTCAATTATAAAATATTTTAATTTACATAATTAGATAATGCAAGACACTCGATTATAAAATACCTATTAATATCTTAAATATTTGTCTTGAAATTCACCAAAAAAACAAACTACTAACAATTAATAATACAAGCTTTTTGGGTACATGAATTATACTAGTATCTTTCTCTCTTTTTAAAGCAACCTTGGTGGATTTCCATCTTTTTCTAGATGTGAATAGGGGCACTTCTTTGATCAATTTTTTGCTCTTTGGCAAATGTGGGCCAAGCCAATATCTAAGACAGAAGAAAACTCTTAAGAAAAAAAAAATCTTGGGATTAAAAAAGGGGACAAAATTGACTTAGGGTGTAAACTAATGGCTTCTTTTAACCAGGAACTAAGGACTTATAAAAGAGGAATTACTTTGGTGAAACTCAAACTTTGACAGCAACCCAACACAATAATTTTTCATCTTCTGTCAAGCAACCACACCACTAAACCTGTCTCCTTTCTCAACCTAAATTTATTACTAAAATTTGGTTTCAAACCCGAATATAAAATACCCATATTTTATATAATCAAATCGAATATTTATAAATACCTGATTAAAGAATACCCATTATCATCTTTACCAAAATTTATATTTTTCACCTTAAATTCTTCTTAATTTATCTTCAATACTATAATGGAAAATCCAATGAAATACTCACCAACTTGTCCAAAATACTAGAATAATACTCAAGTTGGTGTGTTCATAAATACCAACTACTAAGAACCTTATTCTTTTCCTTTTTACCCAACAACAAGAATTAATCTATAATCCCATAAAAAATTTCCTGTTTTTATATCTAAAAATATAGATAGGAAAAGGAAAAATTTTTATTTTGTTTCATCTTTTATTTATTCCTTTTGATGGAATAAACTCTTTGATTCTAATTAGTGGGGGGAATGGAAAGGAATTACAGAGAGGCATTGGGAGGTTTGACTTTGGGTAAAAGGTATGTAAGAATAATACTAGTAGGAAGTGAGGGCAAATAGATCTACACTTTGCTCTCATTTTATTTGTTATTTTTCAGATTTTTTTCCCCTTTCTTTGTCTTAAAGGTAGAGGGAAAAAAATTAAAAATACAAAAAAGAGAAAAGTCCAAAACACCAAAGAACAGAACAGAGAGACCAAAAACCTTTTACCAATACAAACACTTGAAGAAATCTGTGTGTCTTTCTTCTCTCTCTCTGTCTTTCTATTTCTCTCTGTCAGATTCAACCAAAGTATCAATTTCTGCTCTCTCTCTCTCTCTTACAGAACACAAAACAGAACTACACTTCCAAACTCATTAAAAACAATGTCTTTTATTTAACTTCCCCACTTTCTCTCTCTAAAAACTCTCTCTTTATCTCTCTTTGTTTCTTTCTTCCTGCTTTCAGATCATTTTTTGATTTGACTTCCCCAAATTTCTTCTTAAGACGTCTCAAATTTCAATCTTTAACTTAGCTCCAAGATCATTTTTTTTTTTGGGATTTCATTCTTGCTGAATCTTGGAAGCTCCCAAATCATAGCAGTCAAAAGGGTAGGGTTTTATGATTTTTTTGCACAGTGAATTTTAGCTTATCTTAGAGTTTAGATTGTTGTTTAAGTTGGGTTTTTGGTAATTTCATGTAATAGTCAACTATTTTTGTTTCAATGTTCTTTTGGCAGATTTATCAGCTTGACCATGCTTGTTAAAGTTGCTTGATTTGTGGGTAGTTACTCATTTATTGATTAGTTGTTGATTCAGAGCAAGACCCATATTAGAATATGTTGGGAAATGAGGTTTAGATTTAAGAAATGGGGTGTGTTTTGGGAAGAGAAGTATCTTCAGGGATTGTTTCAGAGTCTAGGGAGAGTAAGAATGCTAGCTTTGAATCCAATAAGAAAGTAGAAAATGTTACAGTTTCAAAAACTGATGCTAGTGTTGTAGAGGTTGAAAATGAGGGTACCCAAAAGGAAGAAAAAGCCGATGGGGAAAGAAAACAAAGAGGGGAAAGGAGAAAATCAAAGACAAACCCCAGGTTGAGTAACCTACCTAAGCATTTTCGTGGAGAGCAGGTGGCAGCTGGATGGCCTTCATGGCTATCAGATGCCTGTGGGGAGGCGCTTAATGGGTGGATTCCACGGAGGGCTGACACATTCGAGAAGATTGATAAGGTGGGCATTTTTGTTTACGTTCAGCATTTGTGATTTCTTTTATTGATCCTTATTTAAAGATGATATCACTATTATTGTTTGTTTTGAAATGACACTGAATTTAATTGGTTGTGCCATTTTAGTTGTGTTCTTTGGTTTAACTATGGCATAAGGATGGTCAATTTTATCTTTAAATAATGGAAGTGGTTGCCTTTTGTTACATCATCTGGGATGCAGTGTAGTTCTCAGTCTTTTTCTTCATCGATTGATATTTGTGAAGTACTTACCTTTCCTTACTGATGGTAGATTGGCTCTGGAACATATAGCAATGTGTACAAAGCTAAAGATATGGTAACAGGTAAAATTGTTGCCCTAAAGAAGGTTCGGTTCGATAATCTGGAACCTGAAAGTGTGAAATTCATGGCTAGAGAGATTCTCATACTGCGGAGGTTGGACCATCCCAATGTTGTAAAATTGGAAGGTTTAGTTACTTCAAGGATGTCCTGTAGTTTGTATTTGGTATTTCAGTACATGGAGCATGATTTGGCTGGTCTTGCAGCAAGTCCAATAGTAAAGTTTACAGAGCCACAGGTTAGCCCCAACTTTTCTTGTGATTTAAATACAGTAAAATCCATGGTATACATCCTCAGCATGGAAGTGACTCTAGAAGTATGCTTAAATTGTATGTTAACATTGTAGGTTAAATGTTACATGTATCAATTACTCTCTGGTCTCGAGCACTGTCACAATCGTGGAGTGCTTCACCGTGATATTAAGGGGTCAAATCTTCTTATTGATGATGGAGGAGTACTTAAGATTGCTGATTTCGGACTGGCTACGTTCTTTGATCCAAACCGCAAGCATCCCATGACCAGTCGGGTGGTTACTCTTTGGTATCGAGCCCCTGAGCTTCTTCTTGGGGCTACCGATTATGGTGTTGGTGTGGACCTTTGGAGTGCAGGATGCATTTTAGCTGAGCTCTTGGCTGGGAAGCCTATTATGCCTGGTAGAACGGAGGTAGATTTTTGCTTCATTTGTTATTTATTCAGTTTAAGATGCTTTGAATTATTGTCCATATGGTTGTGTGACACAATATTTTTAGGTGGAAGATACTTTGGCATCACTGCTCATTTAGGAAGTTATTTTCTTTCTACTTGTTGATTTAAGTTAATTTCTTGAAAAATTGCTATTTTCCATGTTTAATGTATAAAGATTGGAGGATGGCATGTTGCAACCAATAAATGATAGTGTCATAACTTGAAAAGCTATGATCTTCTCTTGTTTCTATTCATTGCATATTGAACATGAATAGGTGAAGTTCTAGGTAGTTGTACAACCACTTCATTGCTACTAACTATTTCTCTTTTTTTTTTTTGATCAATTAGGTAGAGCAACTGCATAAAATATACAAGTTATGTGGTTCACCATCAGATGAATACTGGAAAAAATCAAAGTTGCCTAATGCAACCTTATTTAAACCTCGAGAGCCTTATAAAAGATGCATAAAAGACACATTTAAAGATTTCCCACCATCATCGCTGCCCCTCATTGACACTCTACTTGCAATTGATCCAGCAGAACGTCTGACTGCCACTGCTGCATTAAGAAGTGAAGTGAGTTCTTCGATTTCCATGAACACTGCCTCAAGTTCCTTCTGTTCTTGGTTGACTTTATTTCTAAAGATTGGTTTATTGTCAAGGTACCCTTTTGAAAAGTGTCTTTTTCACCTTTTATGTTACTTGTGCAGTTCTTCACAACAGAACCTTATGCTTGTGAACCTTCTAGCCTTCCAAAATACCCGCCCAGTAAAGAGATGGATGCAAAACGACGGGATGATGAAGCTCGGAGGTCAATTCTTCTACTTTTGCTCTTTATTGCCTTCAGTCACTTGCTGTTTTACAAAAATTTTGTAGCTGATTAAGCTTGGAAAATTCTTTCAATTTGATGGATTTTCGTGACCAAAGGGTGGTATATTCACTTGTATGCAAGATACATAACAACATTACAGACCCTTAAGCACATGCTCTGTTGTCATCCACCTACACACGTGTTCATAGAGATAAAGATAGGGAGAAGGATGTAAACTAATGTGGTTTGCATGCACCAATACACAGATTCAGGTTGTTCTGGATCTTATTTGCTTATTCTGGAATGTGTTAAATAATTCATCTCTATATGTAGATGATAAAGCTTTTTAATGACCTGAGGAATTTTGAATTTCGCTGGCCAGTTAGATACTATAGTGTGAAAATATGCAATGGTTTTGAATTTTATTCGATGTCGATTTGCTTAACTCTTGCATACAGTTGATCGTAGGAACTGTCACTTCTTCAAAGTGTAGTCATCATTCTATTGTAGACATTGGTTCCATTTGAGTTTAACTACACTGTGTTAATTAGTATTCTACCCATGGTTATTTGCTTCGAAAAATTTCAATTAAGCTATTTTGTTATGATTGTTGCAGCTCAGACGTATCTTAGCTTCCGTCGTGCTCCTGAATACACACATGCACAGACAAATACACATCGAGTCATGTATCTCTCTTGTATATATTTCAACTATAATAAAACCTTTCTGATATAATTGTGCAGACTCAGAGCTGCTGGTAAAGCCCAGGGTGATGGTGCAAGGAAGACTCGGACACGCGATCGTGCAAGGGCAATTCCTGCTCCAGAAGCAAATGCTGAGCTTCAGTCTAATCTTGATGTATGTGTGATAATTCACTTTTATCAAAGGCCACTATCTTGTATGCTGAGATGCTTTTGTTTGCATATTTGCTGCAAAAAGCATATTTTCTCTAGACATGTTTTTTTCTTGTCTTTTATTGTTAGCTTTTGTTCCCTGCTTCCCCTTACCAAATGAGCAAGGATATCAAAGCAGAGTGTGTTTATTGCAAGTTGTTCTATTGGTACATATAGGAAGTTAAATATGCAGTGAATGCGCAATTATTCATATGGAGATCTGGCATTGAAAGATAGTATATTATCTCTCCGTTCTTCCTCGTACCATATGCTCCTTCTCAGTTAGGCTTAAATTTCAGTCTGCCAACTAAATATTATTTGATAAAGTAGCTTTGCTAGTCTGTTTACTGTTTGTAGCATCTGATTTAAAGTATTTACAGATACAAAGGCATATTAGTATGATGTCTACTCCACCAGATGCTAGTGTCAGCTCTGACTGATGTGGAGCACCTGTTTAAAGTTTTCTTATATTTTAAACTAATTTGGGTTACCTTGTGAAGCAGAGAAGGCGCCTAATAACTCATGCAAATGCAAAGAGCAAAAGTGAAAAGTTCCCCCCACCACACCAAGATGGAGCACTTGGCTTTCCTTTAGGAGCATCGCATCACATTGATCCTGCATTTGTTCCTCCTGATGTCCCCTTCAGTACTACATCATTCACTTATTCGAAAGAACCAATACAAACTTGGTCAGGTCCATTGGTTGACTCTGCCAGCATGGGTGCTCCAAGGCGAAAGAAGAATGTTGCAGGTGATTTACACGAGCCATCTAAACTTCCAACAGGATCCCAAAAAGACAAAAGTGGTGACACCCGGGTTAAAGGAAAGAGAAGCATACTTTAAACTCTCAGTTCATACATACGAACGAGATTTATGAAAGCAGTCGATTGCATTTGATGACAGTGTCACTGACGCTTACTGCTACTCGATGCAATTATATTTAATAGGTTCTTGTTTGTTTTTCTCATAGAAGCATGTATTGTTTTGTTAAAAATGTATCCAAGGGTTGAAATCAATTTTTCTGTATTTTTTTTCCTTCTACCTTTTTATTCTTTTTACCCCCCAAAGAAGCTCTCTAATTTGTTGGGACCCTGAGGATAAGTTTCCACTGTTATGTATATTTCTATTTCTCAGTTCTTAAAGCTTCTTGTGTTCCAAACTGTACACTGTTTAGATTAATGGAGACCGGAGAACATAAGAAAAAAAAATTTCTAATAAACGCTTACAAATCCCTTTCTTCTTCTGTTGATATTTATGTTTATAAAATTACAGGTCACTCGTTCCTTTCTACTCATTCCAGGCAATTCTTTAGTTACAAAAATTGTCTATTTCGTACAGGATAATGGCGCGTTTGTTTCCTCCTATGTCTTGTTCAAAGTGAGTTCAAACTAGTGGACAATGCTGTTACATTTCATTTGTTCCGGTAAAGATAATCAGGCATTCCATTCTTGTTTTATCCAATGATATCCACAACTTCTGATGTCATGGTGAATGAAATTGCATCAGGATTCAGATGCAATTGCCAGTCTAAAGATATCACCACTTTTTCCCAACCTCAACCATTTTGGTGGCAGTGGACACTGGCTGCCTACCATTTTTTGGAGTTTGGTTAGATTTGAGCAAAAAAGAAAAAAAAATGAAAATTCAAATGCTTTCTCCCTAAAAGAATCCAAAAAGAAAAAGCTTTAGCCCATTTTCTTTAATTTTCTTTTTTCCAATTTCTTCTGGACCACCTAAGACCCATTAAATATTAACTCAGTTTTTGCCAATGAGCCTTAGCCTTGGCCTTAGGAGTATGAAAAGGGTAAAGAAGAACTTCTTTGATAAGTAGTCTGAAAAACCCAATTTCCAAGTAAAGAAAGGAAAGGATAAATAAATAAAAAGAAATTATTTAGTACTGTTTTCTTTCAGATTTAATATAAATTAATTATGCTAGTACTTGGACCATAGCTCTGGGGATGATCATGTGAAAGCGGTTAAACCTCTCCTGACTTCGATAAACCCCTTTTAAAATGTTTTACCTTTCAATCTCTCTTCTTTCTCTTTGAATTTCTTTTGCCCATTTGTTTGGAAATCTTCAAACAGACAAAGGCAGAGACTTCAACAGAACCCAGAAGAATCTCGTTAGAAAAGAAAAACCCTGAACGGTTATAGGTTCGGAGAAAACAGAGGAACGCAAAAATGGAAGAAGGCAACAGTAACGACAGCAAAGTAAACAATGTGGCTAGAGCCATTGTTGCAGCCCTTGATTGGAACTCTACTCCTGATGCTCGCAAAGCTGCCGTGTCTTACCTTGAATCCGTACTCTCTCTCTCTCTCTCTCTCTCTCTCTCTGTCACCTTTGGTTGTAATTACTTCTATAAAATTTGTTATTTGATGAAAGCTTTGAACTTTGATTGAGTAGATTGATTTTGAATTTGTTTAAAGCTGGAAAATTTGTGAACTTTTTCCTTGTGGAATTTGATTAGTGTTTAAATTCGGTTTAAAGGTTTGAGTTAAAGGGTCATTCTAATTTGCTTTGATGGACCTAATAAGTAATAACTATCTCTTGGGAAATTGATGTGCTTTGCATTTTGACAAGAATGGTCTGTTCCTTGTATTTCTTTTATTTGGCTTTTCTCAAATGGGTTTTTTTATTTTAGGTTCAGTTACTTACTTTCAAAAGGGCATTGATTAACTTATTTTCTGTACAGAGGTTTTCTTTTGCAGTTTCTACAGCCATTTCTCTTCTATTCTATGGTTTTCAGCTACTTAGGAGTGGTAAATGTTGTATGTTTTTATGAAGATTGGGTTGAGTTTTGGGCTATCAGTGATTGGGTTTTGTTTTTATCCATAATTTTGTGCTATTGAATTTCGAGAGTGAGCCTTAATTTGATATGTGATTGAGCTCTGACTTCTTAAGGATGATTTAACTGTTTAAATATGGTTCCCTTCTTTATCATTTCATGGTTTACTAGTCATATGGGAATATAGGACTTCAGCAAGCTAGGATGAATAATGAGGTATCATGCTGGAAATTTTTAACCATGACTCAAAAGGCAATGACTTTTGTCAAGGTTGATGTTTTCTTGTATCTTTAAGATAGAGTTTAATTGGTTTAACTTTGTTTCCTGATTAGTAAAAGTGAGCATTAAAAATATTAAGGAGAGAAAACCTATTAAGACTGTTAAAGTCTTGCTGTGAAAAGAGCTTATCAAATGAAGCATAAGAAAGCTGTCTTCATCTCCTGCAAATTAGTGTAAATGTTAATCTACAAATGACTGCAGGATCATAATCTAGGGTGGTATTTCACTTTCAAATCGTGACAAAAGATACTTTTTGTTTTTCACTTAGCCATGAAAAAAGATACTTACATGTTTTACTTTTTATTTCTTTAGTGACTTATCTCTCTTAAATATTTGCAGATCAAAGCAGGAGATATACGAATTTTGGCAAACACTTCATTCCTTTTAGTCAAAAAAAATTGGTCTTCAGAAATTCGGTTACATGCATTTAAAATGCTACAGGTTCAAACTCATTCACTATTCTTTCCTTTCTGTTCATGCCACATCTCCAATTTGATGAAACTGATCCTGTTTGAGATTTAATCTTAGAGATTAAGTAAATAATTGTGTCAAATCTAAAAGATTCATTTGTTTGCTACCATTATGTAATGGCTTAGTAAATTATGCTGATAAATCTGTGTCTTGTCTCTATGCAGCACTTAGTTCGGTTGCGGTGGGAGGAATTTGGTCCTTTAGAACGTAGGAACTTTGCAAATGTTGCTGTTGAGTTAATATCTGAAATTGCAGATCCTTGTGAGGAATGGGCTTTGAAAAGTCAAACAGCTGCCCTCGTAGCTGAGGTTTTAACCACATTACCCTGGATTTTATCTTATTTGCTGTGTCTATGATTATCACTTTTCACTGATATTTCTTTCTCTTTTTTTATTTATTTTATTTTTATTTTGCCTTCTTACAGATGGTTAGAAGAGAAGGACTAAATCTATGGCAAGAGCTGCTTCCCTCTCTAGTTTCCCTATCTAGCAAGGGTCCTTTACAAGTAAAGCTCTTTGTAACCTACATGTAGTCATGATCTTTTTCTATTCTTGAATATTGGATGATTCTGATGATTTTGTCCCCTTTAGGCTGAGTTGGTCTCAATGATGTTAAGATGGCTTCCTGAAGATATTACTGTGCACAACGAAGATTTGGAAGGTTTTTATCTACCTTGAGTGTGATTTTGTTTTTGTGCCAAAACTGAATAATTTCAGCTTTGTAGGCATCCAAGATCTCAAGATGCTGCTTTTGTTGAAACTTCAGAAGAAGAATGCATAGTTCTTTTTGCTTCCTTCTTTTCCCATTAGTTTTTGTTTTGAGGGAGTAATATGTGTGATGTTTTAAGATTCTTTTGTATTTGTACTGCTGTTTGCTTCTCCCGCTCTGATATTAAATTTTATCAATCAGGTGATCGACGTAGATTACTGTTACGTGGGCTTACTCAATCTTTGCCAGAAATTTTGCCACTACTATACACAGTATGCCTCTGTCTTTTCCTTAAACATGTTGCTTCTCTTAGCTGTACTTTATGGTCCTTAATTCTTGGTACAGTTATTGGAAAGGCATTTTGGAGCTGCATTAAGTGAGGTGAGTCGGCAACAAATTGACATTGCAAAACAGCATGCAGCTGCTGTAACAGCTACTCTAAATGCTGTCAATGCCTATGCCGAATGGGCTCCTTTGCCTGATCTTGCTAAATATGGCATCATTCATGGGTATGACATTCTTCTTTTCACTTCTCAAGAGATGAGATTTGAAATCATTGATGTGAATCCCTTTTTTACTCTCTCTTCTCCCAATTCTGACAGGTGTGGTTTCCTACTTTCGTCTCCTGATTTTCGTCTTCATGCTTGTGAGTTTTTCAAACTTGTCTCTCCAAGGTATGCTTTATGGTTTACATGATTAAGATACAAAGTTTCTCTCCTGGAAGAGTACTGCATGATGTTGCAAACTGTCAATTGTGACATGCAGAAAGAGACCTGCTGATGACGCTGCTTCTGAATTTGATTCTGCTATGAATAGCATCTTTCAGATCTTGATGAATGTATCCAGAGAATTTTTAGTCAGATCTAGCTCTACAGGTGGGGCTATAGATGAAAGTGACTGTGAATTTGCAGAATATGTATGTGAAAGTATGGTGTCTTTGGGTTCCTCAAACTTGCAATGTATTGTCGGAGATAGCTCTACATTCTCTCTCTATTTACAACAGGTAATGACTGTCAGAAGATTATGGCAAGGGTTTGTAAAATTCCTACCGTGTGATCTTTAATTCAACTGAAGTTGTATGTTGCTTATAAAAAAAAAAACTGAAGTTGTATGTTTACAAACAGGTTTCTAAAGATGGATATATTTTAGTTTATATGCAAAGATTGTGAGGCATTTTCTTTTGTGAATTCTTTTGGCTACTTTTGTTTAATGGAAATAAAATGAGTAATAAAAATTTTCTAATTATGACCTAATTCTATCTTTCCAGATGCTGGGGTTCTTTCAACATTTTAAGCTGTCTCTTCATTATCAATCCCTGCAATTTTGGTTGGTATGTTGAAGTTTTTAAAATTGTTGTAATAGCAAAACATGAATAACAAATAGCTAACTTACAAATAAATTTCATGTTGGTTTGTTTTCTAGGCACTAACAAGGGATTTGATGTCAAAGCCAAAGCTTCATTCAGCTGGAGATGGTTCAGCTGTTACCAATGTGGATTCTACTTCAGCACAGGTTGATAATGAAAAGAGAAAGATTTTAAGTTTTCTGAATGATGATCTTTGTAGTGCAATTCTGGATATATCTTTCCATCGCATGCTTAAAAAGGAAAAGCTTATGACTGGAACAGCCCCCTTTCTGGGGGTTTTGGAGTTGTGGAGTGATGATTTTGAAGGCAAGGGTGATTTTGGCCAGTACCGTTCTAGGCTGGTAACTCTATTACCTCAGATGCATTTTTTTCTAGATTTTTGATTTAGCTTCTTTTGATTTGGAAATTTAAGCATAAATGTACAATTTTTTTTTTCCATTGCAGCTTGACTTAATCAAGTTTATTGCTTCAAACAAGCCCCTTGTGGCTGGTGCTAAAATTTCTGAAAGAATTATTATGATCATTAAGAATCTCTTGAATTCACCAATGCCTGCTCAGGTTTGGCTGCAAACCCTTTTCATCTAATTCCGCTCTATGATACCTTGTCTG